ACTTGACTTGAAATAAACTTGACTCATCAGCTGCTTAGCAACCACTCAGTTTCATGACAACTGACTATCACTTTCATAAAAAAAATTGTAATAATTTGTATAACTTTATATCATATCAATGTTTGACTTTTTAATGTTTTTTTCCCTCTACGTTTAGGTTTTGTACTTTCTTCTATTTCAGTATCTTGTACAAATTCGTATGACTTCTCAGGTCTGTCTCTGTATCTAGGAACCACCCGGAAAATGTCTTCAAGACATAATCTTTCAGACGAGATTTTGTCAAGGTTAGTCTGGATGAACTTTCCCATTCTATTTACTTTAGTAATATTACTGTTAGCTCGTAGCTCATAGTGTCTATGCCTATTTATGGTGAAATTATATTAAACTGTGCCAGTTAGATAAAACTTATTTTCAACTGGGGATTAACCACTTGATCTCTACAACTTACAAACCGACTGCTCAATGAGCAATTCTCCAACGACAGCTAAAACTATATGAATTCTTTCACGATGACCACAGTATTATGGGGTTTATATAAGGCCCCTGCAAAGCAGAGATAAATAGTGTGGCACAGACAGCGGTTTATCAGGTCGTTCCACCCAGTGCATGCGTTTCCCCTGCAAACCCCCGCTTGCCATCTCCGGTGACCTATGCGCTCAGACGCTAAAAGCCGTTGTTGTCTGTGATGAGGCTGCTCTGCATAACACTGACATTTACTGAGATTCATCAGTCTGAAGCGTCCACATCCGGTGTTATTAATCGAGAGGAAGTCTGAGTTTCTCAGCCGCGCTCAGGCGCGAGGTACATAACATGCTGTACATGCTCAGAGTTCCGTCTCTTTAGTTAATTACAGTGACAAATGGCAGACAGGCCCCAAAAGTGCAGCGTGCAGTTAAAAAAGTCACAGGCTCATTTTTGAATGTAAACAAATTCCTGGATTCACTGTAATCTAATTACTACCTGGAACGCTTGAAAACAGCACAAACACTTTGGGTGAGATCATTTTGTTTTCTGAATGAAATAAAGCATTAGGATTCGTAAAATAACAAAAATATCAAGCAGTATAACTGTTTTCTTGAACAGCAAATCAGCATATTAGAATGATTTCTGAAAGATCATGTGACACTGAATAATGATACTGAAAATTCAGCTTTGCCATCACAGGAATAAGTTACATGTTAAAAGATATTAAAATCAAAGACACTTATTTTACTTTGTATTAATCATAATTTTTGATCAAATAATTTCAGCCTTGGTGAAAAAACTGTACTGATCCTGAACTTTTGAAAGAATTATTTTTACCATTGTAGATTGGTTGTAGATTGTGTTGTGTTATGTGTATATTTGAGTTATTTTTATACATGTAAAGCACTCTGGTCAGCTGGTGTTGTTTTAAATGTGCTATATAAATAAATGTTGATTGATTTATTGATTGGTTGTTTGCTTAATTGTTGGTTGCAAAAGACTTGGAATATAGTGCACAAGTTGTATTGACTTTTTTCAGAGTACTTTGGTGTTGCTTTTTGATATTTTGGAATTTGAAGGTCGTGGTCACGATGATTTGTTGTTGTATGGAAAATAACCGTTTGGACATTCTGCTGTAGCATTTAATGGAAGAAATTATGGGGCCAGATCAACATGGTGAGTAAATGATGACAATGTTCCTTTTTTTTAGCTCAACTATTCCTTTAAACTGCACAAGAAATGCTTTGTTCTCACAATGGCCTTTGAAATGTTTTGTTTTGTATTAATGCCACAGAAATGAAGCTCCATTCCGATGGCACCACTAGACTCTTGAGTGACTGCAGTAAGTGTTTCCAAACCTCAGTTATGTTGCTCAACATTAGCTATACCTCAAAGCATCTTGAACAGTTAAAAGGGCCGTTGATGGAGAGACGCAGATCCAGAGGATGACTTTAGTGGATCAAAAACCTCTGCAAGACTTGGTGTGTGTTTTCCCTCCATCAACAGAAAAGTGCACAGCTGATTGTCATCACAGAAGTGTCTGGCCGGCTTTATCAGCAGAAGGATTCTGTTTTTATCAGTTTGCTGCAGAATGTTTTCTTCTGCAGTCGAGTGTGATTAAAGTTCTTTTGATGAAGAGCAGAGAAAACTCCAAGAGAAAAGATGGAAAGAAGAAAGTCATAAAGAAGTGAAAAATAACTCATATCATAACAACAGCACAGTGCTTTTTCCTCTTGGCATCTAATTGAGCTAATTTGCCCTCTTGTTTTTGTTTTCATGTTCAGCTTTTGAAGCTTGACAACTCTGTAGACAGTAATTAGGTTAGTTACATTTGCTTGGAAGTGATAATTATTGTCACCAGGCCAGGTGTAATGGCTTGTAATTCTGTTGCTAAACACAGGACACACATGCGAAAACTGCAGCAGCTCATTCTGCCAAACAACTCACTCTGAACACAAACGTTACAGCCACGGGAATTACACAAACTGAATATTTTATTAAGGCTCATCTCCAGAAATATCTAGTACTATTTATAGTAGTAGGCGTTTTACATGAAGTTGGTACAAAATACGACCTGGAAATAATAATAAAAATGTGAAACATATATGGTATTAAATAATCAAACATTAAATAAAAACACCTGAATGGGTAACGGATGCAACAGGGTGCAAAATAGGGCCTAAAAATAGCAATTAAAAAAATTTAATATATATGGTGTTTTTCTTAAAAGGTATTAAGTATTCAAAAACATATAAAAACACCAAAAAAGGACCTGAAAAATATGAAATATATATATGGTATTAATCAAACATTGAGTTCTCAAAATATAAAATCACCCGAATGGGTAACGGGTGCAACAGGGTGCAGAATAGGGCCTAAAAATAACAATAAAAAATATGAAATATATATATCAGAAAATTAAAAGTTGAAATTATTTAAGATTAGTTCCTCATTTCTATCTGTCATTAAGTGAAAAATGAGACGGCAGGGCAGCCATTAGAGCGCTGTTATCAGCACACTGCAGTCCATACAGATGGAAATTACTCTAATTACTGACTGCCTCTATATATTAGCAGGCCTTCGTATTATATATGTGTGTATATATACAGTATATATATATATATATATATATATATATACACACACACACAGTTTTTAATATGAAGAATTTAATATCAGTTCAACAGTTTTAAATTGTCACATTTTTGTATGAATTTATTTGTTGAATACAGTCAAGAAGGTCAATGCCTCTGAAGGTGCAACAGGTCAACACCATCAATTTAAGAGGAATATATTTTATGCTTTTTTCAACTGGTTTAATTTTATCTTAAGACATTAAAGATGGGATTTGTGGCTCTATTTAAAAAAAAAAAAATGTAATTGAAGATTGCACATGTATTTGTAAAAAGTGCCAATAAAATAGTATGTATACAAGAGGTATGACAATTCTGTGATTTAAATATTACGGTAAATGTCTTCAGGTGCATGTGCCTGTTTGGAGCTTGGCAGATGTGGACACTATCCGTCAATGAATATAAAAGAGCTGTGTAAAAATGTGTCCTATTCTGTTCCATAGGGGACAAAAAGCATGCAAATGTGAGGATTGGGACACAAAAAGGCCCATTTCCTTGGCATCATGTACAATACAAGACAATCTAAATCAGGGGTGCCCAAACTCGGTCCTGGAGGGCCGGTGTCCTGCAGAGTTTAGCTCCAACTTGCCTCAACACACCTGCCGGGAAGTTTCTAGTATGCATAGTAAGAGCTTGATTAGCTGGTTCAGGTGTGTCTAATTGGGGTTGGATCTAAACTCTGCAGGACATCGGCCCTCCAGGACCGAGTTTGGGCACCCCTGATCTAAATGATCAGTGGATCTCTGTACTGAATGAAACTCTGTAGTCCTCTGAGTATTAGATGGGGCAACCTGAGAAACAGCGGCCACCGCAACATCGCTTTACATTCACATGACGGTCAAGAACTATCAGGCACAGTCAGCTGAGAACAGATGTGTGTGTAAGAGAGAAAGAAAGAGAGATTTCACCTATAGTGCATGTATACAGCATGTATCAAATATTTGGACCATAGATCTTAATATGTCATATCTGAAGATCTTTATACAACTTAAATAGTTCAGCAAAAAATAATCAAATTAATAGTACAAAAAGTAGTACTCATGCAACATAAAAATGTGAAAACCATGCAAGCCATTAACAGAGAATTAAGGTTTATAAAACCTTGTTTGCATAAGCCGCATTTGTAGCCTATATAATTTTTTTTTTTTTAAAGATTGTATCAATTTCCATGACTTTTCCAGTGCCCAGTTGCAAAAAACCCTTTAAGAAACCTGTTAGGTGGATCTCCTGAACCAATGACTCGTAAGAATCGGTTCTTTTTAGTGAATCAAAAACGTACGGCATCAACAGTAAGGTTCGATTCATGAATAAATGGCTCTTATGAGTCGATTCTTTTTAGTGAATAAAAAAGTGAACGACGCCACATACTGTCCTTTTCTTTAGTGATTGCAAACACCTAAACACTTAAATCACCTTGTTTCTGAATGAAAATGTATTCATTTACCGAGTAATTATTGTCGTCATGTCTGATTCAAAAGAACAGTTGTTATATTTAAGAAACTTAATTCAGCGTAGGCTGTTGATATGACAATGTGTAGTTAAATATACACAATATGAGTTTGTTTGTAGTCAGTAGTACTTTATAAAAGTAAATGAATTATAAAATATTATAGGTTGTTTTTTCACATATAGCCTAGTTAGGAGGACCAATGCCGCCTTTAAAAATCACAACGTCCATTTTGAAAGAATTAGATTAAATGTATTTCCTATTATATCTGATCTGTAGAAATCTGTAATGAGTTATATATTAATACTAATTCAAAGGGCTGTAATATACAAGAACTCCATTTCTTATTTCAAATATTTACTGCTCAAAAGATTCGTAGTAGCACTGTCAAGGAATCGGAATCGTTCGGTTCTTCCCACCCCATGTGAGAATGTAGACGCCGGGCTCAACTGACTGTGAGCGCCCGCCTCTGGAGGACATGCGCCGGGGACTCGACACGTGATCCGCTCGCCACAATCCAGTATGGCGGAATCCGTCGGTGAGTGGATCCGTGGTTGGCGCGCTCTCCAACGGGAATAAAGTCCGGAGCGTTGCATCCGATCGCGGCGGAGCTGCGGAGAGGTGAGCGGCGACTCGCATGCGTTCTCCAGTGATTTTATGCTGAAATGCACTGATCACTTCAATAAGATAAAGAAACTTGTGGGCGATCAGATGAAACAATCAAAACAGTGTGTGTGTTAAACCGTAACTCTCGGAGTAGTTGTGTGTCACGTTTCATTTTCAGAGTTTATGCGTTTTCTTCATACCCGCAGGTTATGAAGAATCATAAAGATAGCTTTTTAATAAGCTATTATGTTTAGCTTGTAATTAAGGCATTTTGGGCTGGACTAAGTAATGATAATTAAAAAAAGTAAGTTTTTGTAATTGAAAAAGGTTTGAACATTCTGTCATTAAAATAATGTTTTAAAGTGGTAAACTAGGCCTACAGGGTGTCATATGTATATGTTTGTGTGTGTGTGTGTGTGTGTGTGTGTGTGTGTGTGTGTTTGTGTGTGTGTAGCAGTTCTTTGCTAATAGAGTTTGACATGGTGACAGGGTCAGCTGTGATCAGTATGACAGTTTTCATTATCAGTGTCATTTTGTACTCCTTTTCATGAGACATTTTAGGACTTGGTAGTTTTGTGTACCTTCAATGTTTCAAATCGTTTTAATTTGTACAATATTTGATTATAAAAAGTTGTTACATTGTTGCAACTCTTGGTTAAACATTATAGCCATCCAAGATGTAGATAAGTTTGCTTTTTCATGTTAACAAATTTGGAGGAATTTAGGATCACTTGCTCACCAATGGATGCTCTGCAGTGAATGGGTGCCGTCAGAATGAGAGTCCAAACAGCTGATAAAAACATCACAATAATCCACACCAGTCCAGTCCATCAGTTAACATCTTGTGAAGTGAAAAGCTGCATGTTTGTAATAAATTAATCATTAAAGCGTTTTGAACTTTAAACTGTTTCTTCTGACTAAAATATGGGTCTATAATCCATAATATTGCTTCTCCAGTGAAAAACCCATCTTGCCTGAATCGGGAGAGAAATCTGCACAGCACCGTTTACAAGTAAAAAAGCATCCAAAACCGTTCTAAACAAATATGGCAGTGGATTTTGATGTGAGACGACAACAGGGGATGGACTTTTTCATTGGAGGAAACTTTGTGGATTATGGACTTGTATTTTGTCCAGAAGTGATGGTTTAAAATGCATTTATGATGGATTTGTTTCTTACAAGCATGCAGCTGTTTACTTTACAATTTGTTAATTGATCTGGCGGATTACTTGTGGATTAATGTGATGTTTTTATCAGCTGTTTGGATTCTCATTCTGACGGCACCCATTCACTGCAGAGGATCCATTAGTGAGCAAGTGATGTAATACTACATTTCTCCAAATCTGTGCTTTTGAGTTAACATTGTTTTATGGTGCACAAATAATTGTTAAAATAAATTGTTTTGAAAGAGAATTTAGATGTATGTTCTTTTTTTCTTTTTATTTTTTTAATATAAATTCAGTAATCATAGATTTTCTTTTGTAGGATATTGTTGCTTTTACAAGCAGTGTTTCTTCTTTAGTTAATTTAGACCTTATTTTTTGAGATTCTAGTTTCTGTAAGTTTGGGGTACCAGCATCCACAATGCTATATATGTTAAAATTAAAAATATTAATTTTGAAATTAAACTTTACTTTCACGTAATTCTTTAGAAATGGTCTACTGACTTAAAACCATTCAGACAGATATTATTGATGCTTTAACTTTTGGTCACAAAGTAGGTGTTCTCTTTTCAGAAATGAGATTACAGTAATGTTTTTTTTTTTCTGTTTGTAGAAAATGTTAGAAAATTACATTTTCATGAGATTGAAAGTTGTTAGGGTTAAATGTAGTTTTTGTGCTTGTCTTGAAGTAAACGACCAAACAGAACATGAGGGCTGAGAAGTTCCCTCAGCTGTTTTCATGTTCTGAACTGAGTCATGACGTCTATGTTGTCCGCTGGTGGTTATATCATGCTGTTGGTTTATGGCAGCTTTCACACATAGCTGGTGGTTGAAGCTCCAACATGTGGCATCATGCACAGGCGTATAAATCCAGGCTTTAATCACAGTCTGTAGGAAGCTCGCTCGTCTTTCCACATTCCGGCTCTCAAGGACCGGCGCTCAGACCTTGTAAATTTCAGGCCCCACAGGAAGAAGGTCAAAGCAGCTTTCTGAGAACTTGGCAGCAGAGAGTTAATCCAGTCTGGCACGACCCCAGTTGTGCACTTTTTGACTTCTGCGAACAAACAAAAAAATAATGTGCAGTTGTTCACAATATTGCACTTTAACACGTTTGGAATATTTTTGCTGTTTTTATTTATTTTTTTCATGTCAAGGGTCTTATTTCACCCCAGCAAATAAACAAAAGAAATGATAAATATTATAATGTTTAAAGAAAATGAAACTTTTTAAAGTCCACAAAGATTTTCTGCTATGTGACATAAGTTTGATGCAAAATACCATTTTACCCCTCAAATCTCATGGTAAAGAAATATTTCATACATTCTCATTACTGCTTAAAAAAAACCTTGAATGGTGCTGGCTTTATATTTGCTGACTGAAATCAAATCATTCTATTACACTGACAATAATTTGATGAAAATCACCATTGAGAATAATGAGAATTAGGCTTAGGCCTACAAAAAATGTCCGAATGCATGATGATAAAAACATATAGAAAAGCAAAAGCATATAGAAATGCAAAAAAAATAATGGTTCTAAAAATGACCGCTTAAGAATATTTTTGTATTGCAAAATCTAAGAATTCTGTATCATGGTTTCCAAAAACAAATTAAGCAGCACAACTGTTTTCAGCATTGATGATAATAAGAAATATTTATTGAGCAGCAAATCAGCATATTAGAATGATTTCTGAAGAATCATGCGACACTGAAGACTGGAGTAATGATGCTGAAAATTCAGCTTTTCTGTCACAGGAATAAATTACATTATAAGATATATTCAAAAGAAAAGAAAATGGTAAATTGTAATAATATTTTACAATATTACTGTTTTTACAGACTTTCATTGACCCCAAACTTTTGAACAGCACTGTTTTATCAATGCTTCCATTAATGGCTTGCCGTTAAGTTTGCACCTCTCATTCTACATTCTACTCAACCCATGGTGACTCGTCTATGATTGAATAATTATAAAACACCTTTTCCCATTGAAATGCATACAGCATCATTTATCCTATCTGTGTTTCTCTGTCCACAGATCCAGTCTGTGTGACTTGGCAAAGTAGTATTCTGAGTAACGACAGTGCTTAATGAATGTGACTAAATGGCAGTGTTTAGGCCCATGCTTTATATAGTCTCAAATAACAATTTAAATCAGTTTGAGACCCTCGCTAATCAGTTCTGCTCCTTAGGGTACATGATTAACAGTGCCGGATGATTCATGGAGATTGGCAGTTTGCACCGTTTGCCGCATCTGTGGCTGAAGAGGAAAGAGAGGGAGAATCTGGCTCCAGCCGCTCTTACATGATGCTTAGCGAGGAAAAGCGCTAACAGGAGACGGGGCGTAACTGTAGGAGGTAAATGCGGCTGGACAGATGACAAGTATGACTGGCGATCCGTACAAAGGTTGTCCCCTTACTGGAAAATTGGATGTTTGTCACAAGCAGTGTTATTTAGAGGATTGTCTTAATGTCCCCGAGGCCTTATGTTATCTGCTGTGTCTCTGGATACTTGTAGGATGGTGGTAAATTAACTCCTTAAAGGATTAGTAAACACAAAAATGAATATTTTGTCATTATGTATTCGGGCTGTGCAAAAAATCAAATGCGATTTTCATGCGCATCTCGTCAGTGAAGCCGCTCCTGTGATTAGTAGTAAATCTCCAGCACGTGCTTTCAGATGAAGTGCCATTTACTACACAGAGCCGTAGTTCACTGACAAGCTACACAAAATCGCGTTCAAAATCGGCAATGAATTGCCTGCGATTTTGTGTAGCTTGTCAGTGAACTACGGCTTTACTGAGGAGATGCGCATGAAAATCACATTAGATTTTTTTTGCACAGCCCTATTATGTATTCACCCTTGTGTTTTTCCAAAACTCTGTGACTTTGTTTTGTGTGGAATGCAAAAGGAGATATGTATAACACTGTGCAAGCTGCTATTTTCCATTCAATGAAAGAGAATGGTGACCATGACTGTCAAGCAACATTTTAGTGAATAATAACTTAAATTTGGTCCATTACTCACATAATGCATTCGTGTGTGACTTCAGAAGACTGGAATATACTGCAAGATTAATTTGAACTGCTATTATGCTTCTTTTGTTGAGGTTTTTTTGTCCTTTATGGGACTTGACAGCCCATTGTCCCCATTCACGTTTATTGTATGGAAGAAACGTTCTACTCAAACTTCTAATTTTTGTTCCAGGAAAGCAAGTCAGTCAAGGGCTATACGATTAATCAAAATGATCTATGCACTGCATGTTTCAGAGTGAAGCGCAGCACTGCCTTCTTTTTAACGCGAGCAACTTATGAACTGTGTTTTCATGAGTAAATGCTTCTCTGCATCTGCACTGATTTTGGGTCGCTTATAACATTATAGCATTTAGGAACGTCTTATGTGCCAACCATTTTTCCAAACTTGTAATGAGAAGCACTTTTAAATCTGTTGTCAACAAAGAGAAGCTTTAAGGTCTTGCTGGCGTTTTCCACCAAAAAGCTTGATAACTTAACATTTGAAAATGCAGAAATGACGAATTAAATATATTGTAATTAAATAAACATGTGCTGTATGTTTCAGAGCTTTTTTTTTTTTTTTTTTTTACAGTGAAATATTACTATAGTAATTTTTATTTAGTAACAACAACAACAACAACAGCAATAATAATAATAATAATAATAAAGAAGATCTGTAAAGTTGCAAAGACTAAAGTCTCAAATCCAAAGAGATATTCTTTATAAAAGTTAAGAGTCAGCCACGCCTACCTAAAATGACTCGTTCTAACACGCCCCCACATGTCTATGTCACGATGTGGGAAGATTTGCATAACGCCGCCCAAATGTTCACGCAAAGAAAGAAGGCGTAACTTTTTTTATTCTCGCTGTAGTATTGTTAGCCGTTCCTCACTCTAACCGCCGGCCTCCGCTCACTCTAGCCCCCGGCCTCCGCTCACTCTAGCCGCTGCTCACTCAAGCCGGCCTCTGCTCACTCTAGCCGCTGCTCATTCAAGCCAGCCTCCGCTCACTCTAGCCCGCCGTGTGTTTCGTTGT